CACTCTCCATCCACAGTGACCGTCAAAGTTTCCAGGCGGCATGTATTCCGAGACTTTGCACTGTCTTCGTGTTAAACGAACACAGCCACCAAGCGCCAGATTTGGTTGAATGAGCGGGTCATGATTTTGCAGACGTGCATTGAAAGATTGGTTGGCTGATGTTCAAGCAGTCTCAGAGTAGCATTCCGGCAGGCATAGGGGGCAGCATGGGTAAACCTACACGCCGATTTCTTTTGGCAAGCACAGCAGACAGTATTGCTACTAGACCTACACGCCGATTATTTGACAAACCGGAGCAGAGCTTGGAAATCCTTAACAACTTTTCTTGTTGTTGATTGTTTGCTCGGAGGAAGCGGCTGTTGTTGTTGGCACATTTTCGTGTTGTCAGTTGTCGACTGCTTGCTTGGAGGAAGCAGCTGTAGAGTCGCCGACTTTCAGTTTAGGGGAGGGTCAGTGATTCAGCACCTTGTTTTTGCGGGCAAGTTGTCCATAAGACGAAAGCCTGCTCCAGGTTTCGCTCCGGTTCTCAAGGCCAACGTGCGTGTTAAGCCGGTGAGTCCAGTAGTAATACTGTCCGTTGTGCTTGTGAGCAGAAACCAGTGTGCAGGTTTACCCATGCTGTCCCTCATGCCTGCCAAAATGTTATTCTGAGATTCCTTGAACATCAGCAAGCCAATCTTTCAATGCAAGTCTGCAAAATCATGACGGAAAGGCATGCGCAGACATTTATTTGAATTTGGCTCATCCAAAGGGGAACCATAGATGGGGGATCCACAAGCGGACTAGATCACAGCCGACGAGCCGGACAGATTTTATTACGAATGCTGATCGAGTGTTGCCTATGTGGTTGTTCTTGCCCAGCGGCCATGTAAGACTCAAGAAAGGGGATTACGCAGGGGTTACAAGAGGATATATAGGGATGTTATGGCAACAACAGAAACTCGAATGGAGAAGAAAATGGAACAGAAAGTGGGATTAACGAGGTTTAAGGTGCTTTACCTTTGATCAGCAGGGAATGAAGGCTTGGGAGCCAGTATATTATTAGGTTCAGTAAGGACATTCGGGCAACACGCGATCAGGGTGCGTAAAAAAAATTCGGCTCGCTTGCTGTGATCTAGCTTTCGTCCGCGCTGCTCTCAAGTCATATGCAGCTGCTATAATTTTCCATGCATAGAGGTATTTGATTCAGCTTTGCACTGTGAGTTTGTTAGGCCGTTAGGCCGCAGCTCAGGATCACCATGTTTTTGGAGTCATGGGTCACAGATTCTGAGTGTTTGTGATTTCCACAGACATGCAGGGTTGAATCATGAGCAACGTATTGGACATGCAGATTCAGCCGCATCTGCAAGGCCACCGCCCATTTGAAGTCCTGTGCAGGGTGCGTTCGGAGCACCGTTGAACCATGAAGCATTGTGACTGGTGAGTTGATCCCCCCAAGGCCCTGTAAAGCCATGCAGAACCCTCACACATTGCCGCAAAGACATCATCAAGTTTTCGCTGCAGCTTCCCGACAGCCGGCCTCAGTGGTGCGGGCATCAAAGGGTAGCCGCATGGCGTCTCTGCAAATTGCGAGGCTTGCAAAGCGATAGAACTGCTCCGGGTACGTCGCTTCAGTTTTCTTGGTTTTAGCTGCAGCGTTTTAATGCACTTCCTTGCCCCCAGGCGCTGCTGATGGAATGAAGATGGCGTCGGGCTGAAAGATATCAACCATTGACAAGCAGTTCGCCGTCCTTGCAGGGGGATATTTGTCACATGTATGTGTTTTGTCATTGAGCTACCATCTTACACGCTACCGCTTGTTTGTACTTCCGTGCTTCCAAATTGTTGCCGTCCTTAGCTGCTGATAGTGCGCTCTCCAGGTGCCCAAAGTGGTGCTAGTTGTGCTCGGTATTTTGGGCTGCAACGCGAGGCTGGCACGCATATCTGTCTGTCCAGAGCAGGTTGTGTCACCAATCCTGACAGTCCTAGCCATGTCGCCATTGCATCCTGAAGCGCGTCGTTGGCATCAATGATGCGCGGTACCTGTGCAATCTATTCGTGCACGTGTTAATGGTGCAATGAGGACGCACGTTCGCCAATTGATTTGCCAAACATGGGGAATTAACCAACGGTAAACGACCAACACGTAAACCTCAAAACGTGTTACAGCCCTTCAATAATCGACAAGTGGGTAACAAGTTAAGTCGCATAAACAAGCAATGGCAAAACAACGCATAGTTTGATCGGGCACGACAGAAACTTCAACAACCGTCACATTGGCACAAATGCCAACTAACAGACCAGCAAGAGAAATCATGAGAACAACAAGAACAGTAATAAGAGTCATAACAATAAGGAGCCATGAGGAGGAAAAGCAGCCCCGTTCCTCATCTTGATAGGCCCCTTCCTTTTCTACCACTGCCTCTGCCTCCTGCTGGTTTTGCTGCTGTTGCTGCGATGACTATTACTAGAATGAGCATGGGGACGGTAAGAACGACGTTGACGAGGATGACGCTGACGGCGACAATTGTTGCTGGTACTTAGACAGAGGTCAAGCTTCGAGTCAAGCGCCTTTCACAGGGCCACCTGTAGTCTCAGCAAAGCCACATCCAGGTTGCATGGTAGACATGTAAGGACGCTTAGTGTGTGTTCGTCTATGCTGCCATGATGCGATCTCGTAAGCGCAGGGTAGATCATGTATACGGAGTCTCCTGAACATGTTAGGGATTCTCCCCAGTGCTGTTCCAGCTCCAACTCCAGAGGCACCAGGCTCCTGCTGGGAAGGCTGTGGAACTCTTGGAGGAGCTGCAGCAGCCCCAGGAAGGGTTTCGACGTTTTGGGTTGTAGGGTTCTCAGGCTCCCCATCCGAGTAGTACTTATCAAACCATCAAACCAGATCATCAGGGTGGGGACCATATCCATCATAGCTGAGGATTTTGGTTTGACAGGTTGTGGTTCTGAAGATAGCTGTGGGGCTTCCAATCTTTTGTTTTGTCCTTTCATTCACAACCAGTGCTGGCTGCGACCTTTGGTAGATTTCATGCAGTTTACTCTTATCATCTACGGGCAGCCTCTGTGATTGCAATGGCTGCTCACCCAATTCTAGGAATGGCATGATCGGGCTGGATGTGGCTAGGTGGCAGCAAGGGCAGGCAGAGCTCAATGACGAAGCAGTTCGGCAGCTTGGCTGGAAGATTCTGCGTCCCATCGGTTCGAAGCGCCTTGCTGACATAATGCGTGACTCATGAAGCTTCCAAATGTTGAAAATGGGCGGGGAATTAACCAAGGCCTCGAAAGACTAAGCAGAACGTCCGTACGAGTCATTGGTTCGTCAATGAAATGGGGTAAGTGGTCCAGTCCTGGCAAGTGAGAACGTATTTGCAGCAGCAGCTTCTCCGTGCTTGTTGACAGTCAGAACCTCAGCATCAGGGCTCATAAGGTTCTCTACAGCAGCAGCTACCCATTGACAGCAATCAATGGCACGCAGGTATGAAAAGCTGAAGCAGTGGTGCACCGACACCGCCACCTCCAAAGAGATTCTTGGCGGCATCCATGTGTAGACATGTCTGCGCAAGCAGGAGATTAGCGGTCGTGTGTGTATTTGGAAGATAGAAGTCTTGATGGCTGAATCAGCTTGAGCTGCTTCCCATCCGCACCACAGCTTTCTTTCCTTGCATCGCACCTTACAGTAGACAGGTGCTGGTAAACCTTCATATATCGCGTAGTAGGACCCAGTGCCCCATACTCCTAAGGACATTTTTGCTGTCAATCTCGTATGAATTTTTGTGGGAGACGCTGTTAGAACGGACTCTACACCAAGATCGGTATGCAAGCCAGCCTTACCAGCCAAAACAACTAGCCCTGAATCCTGAGAAGTAGACATGCCGCTGCCTTGAACTTGCATTGTCGCCAAGTCCATACCATGACTCCGATGCGACCGAAGTGTCTAGGGTATCGGGGTTGAGCAGCTTGGATTTGTTTCTTGTGCGTTCAGGCAGCCCGGCCTCCAATCCTGTGCATGTTTCCTTGCGAAGGAGTGAGATCCAGGAGGGTCAGGACAAGGAGGCCGGAAGAGTGCCACATCCTTGCCTGCTGCCTTTAGGGGCTTTAGGAAGGCTTAGTGTTTTTAGGGCTTAGGGTTTTTCAGGGTAATTTCATTTGACTGCCCACCACCTTGAACAAACCCAATTCTTGACTCCCAGGTCTTAGGAGTTTTTAGGGTTTAGGGGTTCTTAGGGTTTAGGGGTGTTTAAGGCTTGTTTTCTTAGGTTTGGGAGGCTTTTAGGGCCTAGGGGTTTAGGTCTTAGGTGCTTTTAGGGTTCAGGATGTTGAGGGACAAGGTTGGATGACTCTGGAAGCAGTGAAAATGATGGACTCCTCACACAGTCTTCAGCTATCACAAGCTTTGAGTCTAAATTCTCAAGTTCATGCGCCCCAAAAGTACGAGAGGGTCGACGATTGCGACTTGTTTTTAGAAAATGTTTTTTTGGGGGTTCCGTGCATATTGTCGGGAAAATGAGCGTTGTAGATGTAGCAAACCCGGCAGGGCGCAGGGGTTTGAGCTTCGTGACATAGTCTGTGCCTTGGGGCTCGGGCAAGCCAAAACCTTTGGCCGTAAGCCATCGAGTCTCCCATGTCTTCCTGCAGCCAGGAGCGTGCCAGTGCGGTGGTGGAGCGCACCGAGGCCGCCGCGGCGGCAGCGCAGCAGGCCGAAGTTGGCAGATTTTGAACTTTCAGGTTGAAGATGCCATTCAGGGGGTTCGGGCTTTATGAGATACTGGGTCAGAGCACGTTGGGGTGTTCTCAACAGATGCCCGCAAAGAAGGTAACAGGAACACAAGGTCCAGTGCTGTGGCCCGTTCAAGGGGAGAATTGAAGTGTACAGATGGGTGCAAGTACTAAGCTTGCTGCGGTTGTTTGGAAAGCTTCTCGGATGATACCCATGTTGCAGGTTTGAAGAGGTTGAATTGCCACCTGAAAACCTGGAACACAGCTCTTGAGGACATCGAGGAGCTGCTTGCAACAGTCGCCAAGCTAGACGAAGAGATGTCAGAGCCTGAGTTTTGTGCAGAAAGCAGCTGGTCTATGATCCCAGAGAAAAGAGGAGTGGCTCTTAGACTTTAACCTTTAGCTGCTGTGTTGCTCGATGACACTTCGCAAGTCCCCGTGTGTTTGTGCATGTCGATCCTCTCTTCCTCGTCAGTTTTTTGAGGTCTCGTGCCGGTGGGCGTCGTCGAGATGAGGCAGCAAGGGCTACATGACTTCACAGCAGGCATCATCCCAAGCTTTGATCAACTACTTCCCGCGACCTCCAACTTTCTGATTCTGAGACCTTGCAGACAAGCACGGCATGCTTTGAGTTGCCGGACGTGTTCTTAGTTTTGGCACGCGACAAAAGTCAGAAGTCAGCTCTTCTTTTTTCCTCCCAGTCCAGGCCCTGTTACCATTTGTTCAGACGTCCGTGTACCACCTTGACTCGCTTCTGCACCATAAAGGTTTCCTCGCACAGAGACCATCCTCAAGCCAGTCACCCCAAGAAAATCCACGCACATCCAGTCCTCCGCCTACGTCAGCTCGGACCAGGAGTTGCAGCTCCGACTAACTTGGAGGATTTCATGGTTTCTGATTGATCTTACGTCTTGTGTGCGGTAGACTGAATGTTGGATGTTATGCTTTACTGGGCGCAGCTCATGTCTAGAAGAACATGAGGCATCCAGAGTGACGAAACCCTGCACTTCAGCCAGACATTCTCTCATGGCTGATCCTTGTGTGGGACTTGTTGAGTCCACAGGCAGAAGTCCATCCGAGCAGTGCGACGTGCCACCTTCTCCCTGCGAGAGAAGAGTGACGCCGATGGCAAGGAACATGCTTGATCAGGGATATTGCATGTAAGCAGAGCGACGAGTACTGGTTGTGTCAAGTCTTTCGTCGTATCCTTCTGACACTTGGGTAAGAAGACTCAGGCGTAGATCCCGTTAAGCAGCCTTGAAACGCGAGACCTGTTATTGAATATTGCCTCATGCTATAATTTCTTCAGACAGGTAATTACTCATTCATCATTCATGATGCCTTGAGAGATGTAACGCCACTTCGGAGATGCATCGCGAGGCCGCTGCTGCGTCAGAGTTGCAGATGGCACGCACGGAAGCGCTAGCTGCGCTGCAGGCCAACACGTCACAGTCGTCACGTTCTCAAGAGAAATCCTTCAACATTTCTGGGCTTCAAGCTTGAGCTCAGGGTTATGCAGCTCCAGTCATAACACAAACAGGGGTTCACAATGTGGCATGCCGTGAGCCTGCAAGGGTCGGGTAGGTCGAGGAGCCCGGCCTTGCTGCATCCAGCATACAGGAGATGCTGACGCCGCTTGGTAGCGAAAGCGGCTGATGTGATGTATGTCTCAAAAATGTGGAACGCATGTTTTACTGTGGATACGCAGGCATTTCGTCTCCAGGTGCATGTCCCGACCTCTGCAGGTGAGTCTCGTAGGGGGATCTCTAGCATCTATAGCCTGGAGAGTTCTCGAGGAGGTAGCTCTGCTCCCTTCACCCATCCCTGCGCCCTTCGACTGCCCCGTGTGCCCCGCAGTCGAGTCCTTGTTGCTCGGGATAGATCTGCCCAGCCTAGGCTACGGTATCTTGATAGGCCTTGCTCTTGGCCCAGTGGTGGATTTTCTCTGCCTCCTGAGGGTTTGGTGGAGCGCCTACGTTAGGGAACAGCTTGGGGGTGATAGGCATAGGACCCCCCTTTATAGGGTTCTTTCCTGATAGGCCCCGTGTCTGGCCCTGTGGCCTTGCAACCTCCGCCTGCCCTTGTTCCGCATGACACCTCCGCTTTCCTTCCTCGTCGTTGCAGAGGAGCGCAGGAACATCGCTCAGCAGTGTTCAGTTGCCAGCCTGGAAGCTCCTCAGCAGCGCTATGCCCAGTTCCGACAGCGAAGCCAGCATCAGCCGCCCTGCCGATCTCAGATATGTGTGGGCAGGAGGCCAGTGCAATGCCTTTTACGAAGTCGGCTCCCTTTTGACCGGAGAAGGCTCGAAGCGCAAGTCCGTCGCTGTGATTTTGATTTCTCCCATGGAAGGCCGCACCGTTGTTGCATTTCCTCAACAAGCATGGGACAAGAAAGCTTCTAAACGTGTTCTGCCCCAAGGCCCTACCTTGCCGAGGTAGCTTCTTCAGCCGCCGAGGACCGCTCGGCTCCTGCCACCACGACGCAGAAGGTCTGGGTTGGGCTGCTTTCCAGCCCATTGGCCGATGCAATCACTTTTGAAGGCGATGTCATTTTTGATCGCCCTTTTCTGGGACAGGACGGCCAGCCGTCCTTGCCGTTTGCTCAGGCCCTTTTGGACTTGGCCGATTCCCAGTATGGATTTTCTACCGCCGCTGAGGCGCCTGATCCCGGCGATGTGCATGAGGCCAGGTTCCGCGCCTTGGAGGCGTCTGTTGCGGAGATGAGCAAAGGCATCTCTGCCCTCGTTGCTGCAACAAAGCCACCTGCTGCGGCTGCCACTGCAAAGCCTAAACCGCGTAAGCCCCCCGTCGAGGGCTCTGTGCCAGGCACTCCAGTTGTTCGGGGGCGTGCTCCCGAACTGTCTGGATTGGAGCCTGCCGTTGTCCGATCTGCTGCCGAGCTGAATGAGATCCTCGGCCCGCCGGCCTGACTGACTACCCGCGTGCAGGCTCAGCTTTGAGAGCCCAGGCTGCAGGGGTAGGAAGCGATAGTGAGGGTCTTAGGGGTGATGACGATGCGTTTGAGGATCTCGAAGCCGGTGCTACTGCCGACCCGGTCCAGGCCGCCGTTGTTGCGCTCACATCTATAGTCAAAGAGCTGGCCAAGAACAAGCAAGAAGCTGCAAGAGCTCCGACCCTTGAGACGGCTTTGGACCGTGCCGAAGGCTCTTCTGCATCTTCCGGGCTTCTCGAAGGCTCCTCGGCCTCGCGCTCGAAAGCTGCCGCTTACCGTATCCTCAGGGAAAGCCTGACAAAGCGTCCTGAGCAGATTTATGCCTCCATCGAGGCAAACCTTTCAGAGGATCTCCTCAACAGGCGCGCCGGCCCTCTTGCTGGCACTGCTGCCACAGCCCGTAGCTGGTTTGAGTTCAGGTCCAGGCTAGGCTATTATATTGGGTGGACCCTAGGCAGCATTTGGGATGCCCTCAGGGAAGACAAGGTCGCGTCGCCGAAGCCAGGGCCCGCTGCAGTGGCGGCTTGACCAAAGCGCCCAATGCCGGAAGCTGGACTTTAGGGCAGGAGGTCCTTCTGGAGAGCCCTCCTCCTCTGTCTGCCTTCCAAGGCCGACGTCCTTCTGCCCAAGATCCTCTTGAGAGTTTCCGCACGCGGCTCATTGATAACCGATGGGCGGAACTCCTGCTGCATCGCGTGAAGGAACTTGACACCTTCTTGAAGGCCAAGCGTGACCTTGGCAAGTCGCGAGCTCCCGATCCTCCGAGCAGTTTTGCCGAAGACGGTGCTGGTAAGGGCGCCGGAAAGGGCCGAGGAGGTCGAGGAAGCAAGACAAACAACGACACCTCTGGCGCCAAAGTAGTCTCTTTGTGAATTTTCGCCATGGCGCCTGTCCCCGTGCCCGGCGCCACGGCTCACACAGTGCATGCCGCCACCTTGTGGAGCTCCCTGCAAAGCCTGCTGGAGCATTCTCCTTCATTACGCTCAGCCCTCTTTCCTCCTCGCCCGTCGGCAGTCTCGACATCCATTTCTTCCGGAGCTCCCTTTTGGAATCTGGAGCCTACTCCTCTGCTGCACCCCCGATGCCATCGCCCTGGACTTAGTTGCTACGGCCTTGGATTCTCTTCTTGTTGGGGTCTTTTGATCGCGTCCTTCGGGGCCATTGCCGCTCACCCTTTTCTTTTAAATCCCGTGCTGCCCTTGCAGAACCCGTGTTTGAAGCTTGGGCCCGCATCAGTGCAGCCGTCAATGAGTGGAATGAATTTCCGCCCGTCGACGCTGAGCAAATGGGACGCGCAGCCGGAAAGGTGGAGAAGATCGAGGAGCAGATTTCGCTCCTTGAGAGTCATTCCGCCTCCTCCGCTTTTCCTGCGCAAGCTTGCCTTGCACTTGCAAAAGACGTTCAAGTCTCCAGGCTGTCCTTCCCCCGGGAACCCCGTTTCGACCCGTGTCCTGTTCTCGACGACCAGCTGCGAAGCCTTTACTTGCATCCTTTGGCCCACGCTTGCACTTTCGATGAGCTGGGGATCGATCCTCCGCGAGTCCGCTTCCGAGCTGCCGACAAGCGCGAGAGACTGGACTTTCTTAGCTTGCTGGACTCCTCTGGCCTTCTTCTCCTTCACCCGGAAGGTTCTTTTGACGACAGGGCGTGTTGTGGTGCTTTTTCGATCCCGAAGAGTCTTACAGCAGACAGGTTCATAGTGGACGCGCGTCCGGCGAATCTCCTACAAGCTGCAGACTGCCGTTGGCTCTCGACTATGGGGAGCTTTTCGTGCATCCTTCAGCTGGAACTGAGCCCCCGCGAATTGGTGCTTTCAGGATCGGACATCAAGGAGTTTTATCATAACCTCAAAATTTCGACTCAACGGTCGGCTCTCTACAGGTTCGTCGCCTCCTACACGGCTGCGGAAGTGCAACGCCTCTCCTGCTTCAGTCCGTCTCTTTTCAAAAGCGGGCGTGTGCAAGCGTCCCTTCGGACTTTAGCTATGGGTGATGTCAACTCGGTGAGCTTTGGTCAAGCCTCGCGCGTGGTTGTTGCTGCAGGCGAACGCTGCCTCTTTGGACCAGCTACTATGCCACCGAATGGCCATACCTTGGGGGCCCGCCGCCTTGGGGGTGGTCATTGATGACTTGATAGTGGTTGAACGCGTACTCCGCAGCCATCTTGCCGCGGGTTTGCCTCTGGAATCGCAACGCAGCTTACGAGCAGGCAGGTTTGCCAAGGCATCCGGCAAAAGACTTTGTGGGCCAGACTCGAGCGTCTCTTTGGGGCGCCGATGTCGACGGAGATCGGGGCATAGTGCGACCGTGCTGGTCGCGTCTCGTTCCTCTGGTCAGCCTCACTCTTGCTGCAATACACCTGCCAGCCTTGACCGTGTCTCTTTTGGAAGTGCTCTCCGGCTCATGGGTCTCGGCCCTGGCTTTCAGGAGACGGACCATGAGCCTTTTGCATCACGTGTATGTGCTCCAGCGGGGGCGCGCTCCTGCCGAACTTGTGCCTTGCACTCCTCAGCTCCAAGCCGAGCGTTCCAGGTTGTGCATTCGCGACTTCTTTCCAGCAGATGAACTCCTGCGTAGGTGCGGGCGACTGGAGGCCCAAGCCGAACTGCCTGGGGAACACTACCGCGCTAACGCTTTGTGGACGTAGCTCGCTAGAAGCCTTTCTTTCCGTGTTTTGGCCTCCTTCCCTAGGAGAGCCAGTGAACATATCAATCTGAAAGAATTGGAAAGTTACCTCGTGATTGAGGAACACTTGGCACCAGGTCTCTGGTCTTCAACCAGGAGTCTTGCGCTCTTAGATTCCCAAGTGTGTTTAGGGAGTTTGATCAAAGGCCGATCGGGTTCGGCGTCTCTCAATCTCCGGCTCCAATCCTCTGTTCCCACGGTCCTTTTCTTCAATTTGCGCCCGAGGTTTGGGTTCGTGGCGTCAGAAGACAACCCGGCGGATGATCCGAGCCGCGGCGTCGCCCTCAGACAGCCTTCTATCCCCGAGCCTTTTTGGCTCACTGAGGCGGAAGGGAATTGCTTCGAAGCCCTGCGTTCCTTTCTGCAGAACCTTGGACTGCTCCCCGCTCAGCTCGAAGGCCTCCCTGCCTTGCCGCAAGCTTTTGATGCCCGCGAAAGGCCCCTTTTTTTTTTCAGTGGCGACCGAGCAGCCTAGTCCTGCTCCCCTGGTCTTTCTTTCAGTTCTTCGCCTGCGTCCTCTTCTTTTGCACATTGCCACCCTCAGGCCCTGCCTGACTTCACTTCTCCTTCACAGGTCTGCAGCCCTAACCCAATGCCTGAAACCCGTGCTCCCGAACCCGTGCGTGCGATCGCAGAGCCTGTCCCTGCAGACTCAAGCTCTCATTCTGAGCCTCCAGCGCACACAGCGCACGGGGATCTCCGCCCCTCGGAGAGTCCTTGCAGCTCCGCCTCCTCGTCTGTGAGCAAAGCCGGGCCCGGTCTTCTCCCCAAAACCTCTGCTGAAACGCCTCCGCCGGCTTTGCCCTCCGCCGTTCCATCCGGCCTCGGGGTTGCCTCTCGAGCGCTCCTTGACAGCGCGGCTGAGGCCCAGTTCCTTTGGCCTAAGGGAGTTCGTCCCACGGCGCTCGCGGAGTTGCCAAGAATGCGGTTAAAAGCGGCCTGCCTTGGGCCGTTACTTACGACTGGTCTCATGGGCCGGGCCAGGATTTGCTGGACTCCCAGTTGCTTCTCTTCAGTCGGCCTGGCTCCCATATGCGCTTCCTTCAGCACGGCTATCACGCCTCCCATCAGAACTAGTCAGTTCCGAGAAGGCCGCCCCGGAGTCAGCCTCAGTTTCAAGAAGAAACTTCTCCAAGGGAACCAACATGCATCCTTTGCCCTTAAGGTTGTTAAGGTTTGCATTAGGAAGGGTCTCCCCTTTTGGCTTGAAAACCCTGACTCTAGTTGGCTATGGCGCCAGCCCTCCTTTCGAGAACTCTTCGAACTTAAGCCCTCTTTGAGTTTCTGGAGGTACGATTGCTGTAGGTTTGCTATGCCATGGCGCAAGCGCACGCGGGTGCTCACTACGACTGGCTTGGCCGGGACCACTACTTTCTGTTTGGGAGGACACAAGCATCTCTTGCTACGAGGCCGGAGCAAGCGGTGCCGCATGGCTTGGACGAGAGTTGCCGAAGAGTACCCCGAAGGGGTTTGTCGGTTACTGGCTTCAGCCTTGAGCACCGCAGTGGCTTCTTCTGGAGGGTCCGTCTCGGACTGCGTCAGGCGCAATGGGAAACGCATTGGCGAGGCCGATAAGCCGGGGCCAAGAGCTCCGAAGATGAGGGCAAGCCGCCCTTTTGTTCGACGTAGAGCTGCTCGAGGCTGCCACGGTCAAACTGCGGGAGAACATCTGGTCCACCTTCAAGGCTTGGCTTCGCGAGGAGCTCAGCGAGGGGGCCGTCCTCGCCATTTTCAGGTGTCCTCGGGACTACGGCGATGCTTTGTACAAGACTGGATTCCCTATAGGTTCCTATCGTCAGCTTCTTGCTCACAGCCAACGCCTGCTGCCTCTGGTCAAGCCCCACTTGGGTGTAGCCTGGGCTATGGTTTCGAGATGGGAAGAGCTGCAACCGGTGACCCATAGGACACCCATGCCACACCTCTTCTGAAAGCTCTAGTGGGAGTCGCGCTGCATTGGGGTTGGACTCGCTTTGCTGCTGCCGTCCTGGCCATCTACGAGAGCATCTCCCGACCTGGCGAGATCTTGAAGGCAAGGCGGGCGGATGTCCTCACGCCCTTGGATATGCTTGATGCGGCTCACCCTTGGCTTTACGTCCGAGTGCAGAAGCCAAAGAGCCGACGAAAAAGTGCAAAAATCCAGCATGTGAAGATCGGAGACCCGGCCGTGCTCTCTTTTCTGCAAAAGCTTTGGCAAAGCTTGGGACGAAACGAGTTTCTGTGTCCTGGCTCCCCCGCTGTCTTCAGGCGACGGTGGGACAAAATTCTTGCCGCTCTGGATGTGCCTTCGGGCGCGCACCTTACACCTGCTTCGCTACGAGCTGGAGGTGCAATCCATGCTTTTCAAATTGGAACGCCGGTGTCTGATCTTCTCTGGAGGATGAGGCTAAAATGAACTGCGACTTTGGAACATTACCTTCAGGAGATGGCCCGGCCCTGAGCTGGATTTGGAGGTCGTGCTTGCGCCAGCTGCTAGAGCAGCGCCGCCATACATGTACAACCTTCCATGAGGAGGAAAAGAGAAGTGTCTCGCAGTCAAACATGTGGAACGCATGTTTTACTGTGGATACGCAGGCATTTCGTCTCCCGACCCTCCCACCCTAGGAGGTCGTGCTTGCGCCAGCTGCTAGAGCAGCGCCGCCATACATGAGATGTTTTCGATTCATATGTTTAAGAGGTTCTGCCCCGACACTCTCTGCTCCGGACCTCGAAACTTGCAATCTCATGAAGTTGTTGGCCTCGCTGTTCACAATTACTACTGCTCTTTTTGCTGTTTTTTGCTGCTACATGCTGCGACCACGACGACGACTGCCACGATTACTACTTCTACTATGATGACTACGGCTACTATTGCGATTCGTAGTACTTCTGCTGCCTGTGCTGTTATTTCTACCACTGCCTTACTAGTCAGCGTTGTCAGAGTCCAAAATTGGGAATGTTATGTTGCAGATGTGCTGACCGATCCCAGGAAGCTCTCTGATCGCTTCCATGAGGAGCTGGAGGCGCTGCACACCAGCAGTTTGCCTCCTTCACAACACTTATCCGATGTTCAGTAAGTTGCTTAGGGGCCTTGTGAGAGGGTTTCATGCAGGCTTCAATGAGAAGACGCAAGATTTCCGGACCTGGTGCGTGTGCGTGTTTGCTGACCCTAGACTCTCACAAAGAAGCACCCCCTTCAGGACCTCCGAAAAGCCGAGACGAAGGCAAAGCAGGCAAAGAGTGGGATAAACCCCTGGTGCGGCATTTGCCTTCTGCATGCTGGCCAGTCAGCCGTCGGTTTCACCTGGAATTTTGCACGGGGCAGCGATCGCTGCACGATGTTTGGGGGTTAGTATCAGGTGATGTTTTTGGGGCTTGCCATTGCAGCTGCAGTGCAGGAGCATGATCTCATGCTCAACCAGCTCAAGCTCGAAAAAGTCCCTTGGCTTCTCTAATTGCGGAGACTGTGCAAAGATGTAGCCATTTAACGGTATTTGAGAACTGCACTCTCCAGCACAGCCGTGCTCACAAGAATGCTGCCACATACTTGTTAAAAAATCTAGAAGTCAGGGTATGGGCCATCAGCAAACACGATGCGTCCCTGCATCTTAGCCTGGCAAGCCCCGCTTCTCCAGGAGCAGGTTGAGGCCGCTCTTCGCTCCAAGCGAGCTGTGCTAGGCAGCGCGAAGAAGTTCTTTCTGACCCGGCTTCGTTTGGTCGTGGTTTTTTTTGTTGTTTCTGCCTCTAGATTCTATAAGCTTAATCCTTGCAGTTCCTCACCTTGAGCCTTCTTCAGGGGAGGCCCGGGGCGCGCACAAAGAGGCGAAGGAAGACCTTGAAGACGTGCGGACGGACCCACACTGCCTTGTGTTGTTGGACTTGGGAACTTTCAGATGTGAAGAGATTCGCTTTGCAGCTTCCTTCTTCTTTCTGAGCTTCTGATAAAGGGAGAGCCTGCACATCATCCTTCGTCTGCATGCAGCTGCACCTTTCACTTTAGCTTTGGCTGCTGAAGCGGAAGGACTTGCAGCAAGACCAGAAGTATGCCCAGGATTTGCAAGTGATGTGCAGCTTGAAGGCCAGGGCAGGTGTCTTAAAAGAACCTCTTGCTGACTTTGCTGAGAACAAATCTGTTTCTGGTGTGCAGATATCTATCATTATCATGAATCAAACTAGCGTTTGCCCTTACTTTAGGTTTCAGTGCCCACGCCTGGTTCAAGCCACCTGCTTCTTGCGCTCTTTGGGCCTAGTGCAATTTGCATGCAAGCCGCTGGGCAGTCTGTGTCAGGGAGCTTCCCTTTCCATCTCAGATTTGCAGATGCGCACTGGATGGTATTACTCTCAACTTTCCAACATGCTTTTTTGGGTTGCTCTTGCAGGATACCCCAGGGTCGAAAGTGAGCATGCAATGCTGAAGCCCGCCCCAGCCCTCAATGACCAAGTCCGGGTTGGAGGCAGACACCTTCAAGAAGCGGCGCCGCAGTCGGCAGGTGGCAGTGCTGTGCATTGCTTTGTGCAGGAATTTCGCACGAAGTCTTTTCCTTCGACTTAGGCCGAGCTGCAGGCCCTGAAGACCGCAGTGGCTCTTCTCAAGGACAAGGCCGTGACATATGCAGCTTAGAGTGTGCAACCAGCATGGTTTTTGCTTGTCATGCCGGACGGCCACTACCAAAAGGTGACTGCCAATTGGTGACTGTATGCGCGTACTTTTATGTTGTTTGTTTATGGACTCAACAACTTGAAAGGTCTCCGGTCTGGCGCAGAAACTTGGTGGCAGCTTTTGCAAACTTGTAAATCAGCACAGGTTGTTATGGATGCAAGGTGATGGACAGATTGCAGGCGGTAAGGAAGTTCTTCTGGGCATCGTGAGTTTGCCTCAGTCTGGAAACCGGGTGGGATTCGTCGGAGCCATGGTCAACAGGCATTCTTGTTTGTGTAAGCTTCTTTCAGTTATGGCTGGTTCTTGGACAAAGCCTCTCTCTCTCTCTCTCTCTCTCTCTCTCTCTCTTTTGGATGTCACTCCTTCGCTCACTCGGACCGTCGCTAATAATGCCGCGGTCTGAAAATCTGGCCTGATGAGCCCAGTCTTGTGTTTTCCTCTTGTCACCCGTTTGGAAATTTCTAAGACTGCGACTCTTCAGCTCGGGCTCAGCCCTCGCAGCGCTTCGCAGTGGTGAGGCAAAGACCAGCGAGTTGCGCGTTACTGTTTAGAAGTTAAGGCTAGGAGTCCAGCAGTCACCATTACATGGGCTGTCTCGGTTTGAAGGTTCTGTCCCTGTGTTGAGCCAGATTCACTCCAGAGATCATTTGACAGCATCGCCATGCCGGGGAAAGCTTCCGACCAGAAATCTTGTACGATCGTCAAATAAGTTGTTGAAGATCGAGTTAGCATGAATCCCCGGAAGCTTTCGGTTGATATTGTCATCATCAGCGTTTCTAAAGTGGTGCATAAGAGCTCATTCCTCATGTTGGCCTATCCAGGCGAGGGACCCTTTTTTTTTTTATTGTGTCAAGCCGTATCTTGTTCAAGTAGATGTTCGCCAGCGCAAGGTGCTGGCTCGTGGCTGAAAGTTTGGCAGCTAGTTGGGCTGTCCATTCCAGCTCCATTCGCCACTTTAGTTCAGTTGGGCCTTCTTGTGAGCCACGATTGGGGTGGATGCCTGGCCAGGTGCGTCGGGCCTTTCAAGCCTTGCGGTCGGCTGGCCTTGAGGCTTGGGGAGTCCCAGCCTTCCTTTATTTGAATTCAATAGGACATTTCGATGATTGGCCGAATCATCGTTTCGGGTTGTTTTTGGCACGAAGCTTCATGACGGCTTTGCTCTTGAAGGTGTGGCTTGGGAACTTGTGTGGGCATATCTCATGCACGACTAGAGATCCTGCCTGTAAACAGGTCTTGGCGACCCGTCTTGCTGGAGAGCCCTTGGCCAAGGCCGAGCGAAAATTCTTAAGGGATGGGAGAATTGCATGGTCTTGGTGCGGCATGGTGCGGCAGCTCATTGAATCAGGATTGCAGAACTTTCCACCTGCGAGATTGGCATAGGAGACGCAGCGTGAACGTGAGTACCCGCATGATTTACAGTTTGGACTTTTGCATCTCTTGTCCTTGCTTGGCCACAAGATCGGAGCAATGGTTGGACAGGCACATGGGGCCGTGTTTGATTTGGTTGCTGGCCAGACGGCTAGACATACACCTTGGGCGTGTTCTGGCCTTGCAGCAGAAGCCCTGCGTCCGCATGCAGGTCCGCCAGATGATTAGCGAAACGATCCGCAGACTGGAGGAGGTAAGGTGTGACTGCTGGTCGCTTTGCGGGCGTTGTTGTTCTACTTCACTCTTCGGGCATACCTCAATCCCAAGTGCAGAGACAGAAAGGGAGATACTTTGGCACAACATAGGGTTCCAAGGGATGCAGAAGCTGCGAGGGCGGAGGAGCTGCTGAAGTGATCCTGTTTGTCATGTTTATATGCCTACCTCATTTCCATTTCATTTTGTTTGTGAAGGCCTCCCGGCAAACAAGTCTTACACGCGCAGAGCTGAACAACTCAGTCCGGAGCAGGTCTTAAGCCCCGGGGGGCTTGCTCCCCAAGCTCCGTGGCAAAGCAAAGCAAGAGCATTCGGCACACCACACGCAGCTCCCACCCTGCAGACATCACTGAGCACCTTCACAATAACCAACTGGTCACAGCACTCCAACATGGATTGCCACGTTTGAGACACCTTGTATACCACAACCTCCAGGCAACCACAGCAGCCACCCAAGCCACAGGATCAGGCGGCTGCAGCAGCGGCGGCCGCAGCAGCAGCAGTATTAGCATGCCGCCTCCCATGCCTCTGGTCGACGAGCTCAAGTTGGAGACATCCATTTCACAGACATCCAACATCCACGTGCTTTCTAACCTCGTCCCCAACGACTTCAGAGCAATGGACTCAAAAAACCTATGCCAGCCCACTACACCACTGCCAGTCGCAAACCCTGCCACGCTGCGAAACATTAGGTACCAATAGCAGCCGCTTTCAAGTATCATGGAGTATCGTCAGGGTAAGCTTTCCGCAAAAGCCGACTACTTCAGTCAGGTAATGCTCAGAACACCAGATTCCTGAGCCTGTGATGCAGGGGATAACGCCCAACCCATACAGTTCACCGGGGCAGTGAGGAGGGTAACAAAGTGGTGGTCATTATTACGGGAGTAGTTTCATGTGAGCCTCAAACCCAGCTGTGATGAAGTATCTGCGTTAGGCAATGCCATGCAAGGGTGTGGGAGTGATCTCAGGGCTTACGTTGCGGTAGCATGCGGTAGCCTCATCGCCCGCATGCAAGCAAGAAAGGAAGTTCGATAATTTTGGCTCCAGCCGCGAGGCTCAAACCCCCGGGCATGCTCGGTGATCCTCTTTGATTCCTCCAACTTCAAGTGTCTGCG